CCTTTAGTAAAGACCCCTTTGAAAGACTATTATCAAAGGGGCACTTGCCTTCTTTTCTTTCCTCAATTTTCTGTTCGCCATCAACTGCACCTTGTTGACCTTCCCAGGATGAAGCCAAATGCAAAGCCGACAGCTGCGACCAGAGGCCAAAACGCCTCACGAGACCTGGCAGCGCATGGAACTATTTGCACAAGCAAAGAAAGCTTTAAAAGAATGAACCACTATGGCTCAAGGTGACTGCTGTGTGTTCTTGGCATGCTGCACAAAAGGGGCTCCATCAGCAATTCCCTGGTGCAAACCAAATTTGGCTTATTTGGAGAGAACAGGGAGGCCCGCATCTCAAGACACGCACGGCATTGCAGGCTGCGCAGAGCGGTCTCCGACATGTCTTATGCCCCAATCGCCATGGCCAAGACATCTACGTGATTGGCTGGAGCTGGAGGTGCTTTGATGCGCAGCTACTTTGATATGCCCACCATGGATAGCAACAAAGAACATCCTGCAGACAAAGTCGAAAACAGAACACATGAAGCCCTAATGATTTAAACTCCTTCTCTCAAGATTTGTGTTCTCTGTGAGAGGACCTAGAAAAATCGCATCACAATCGGAAGAAGCCATATCAAACCCCGAGGCTGCGCCCGATGTGCTCCGAAAACAAGTCTTCTAGCGAACATGAACATGAACGGAACAACTGAGGGCAGTCTCTGGAGGGTTCTGCTCATAACTTGCATGGCCTATTCGTGTCGAAGGTCTGATAGTAGTGCTGACAAAACCTCAAGACAAAGAAGCTCCGCAAATATCTCTCAAAACACATGACAAAGCAAATGCTTCATCCAACTTTCGTTTTTTTTGAAATGTCCATGTACTCTGTCCACCTAAACCATCAGCAGGATGGTGCACACAGGCCACAGTTTATGTACAGCAAACGACCTGAACAATTTTGAACGACTTATCCAGGCCCAATCTCAGTTCAGTGCTGCTCACCTATCTGCTGAAAAGCCATTGGGGCCTCTCTGCAAAGGAGCAAACAGTGCTCTTGCAAGGGTATCTTGCATTCCCAAAAACTGCAGCATGCCATAACAGCTGTTAACTGCTCAGAAAGCCTTCTTGGGGAAGAGTTCCTGCTCCGCTCCGTAGGGCGAGACTGAGTAACTTAGGGGAGCATTCGTAGAAAGCGTTCATCCTTGAAGTGCAGAGCCTACAGTGCGCATTGGTAGAAACGGGGTAGTGTTCGTTTGGTCCCACATTTAACGCAATTTGGATCTCTGCGAAAGGAGCAAAGTGAGCCGCCCACGTTAGTCACGCCAATCGTTTGCGCTGCTTGGCAGAAGCAGCACTTCTCTTCTTACACCCTTTGGCAGAACCACTCTTAACTTCACGCATGCCCTTCGTATGAAGGTTGACATTCGTAAGTCCTGGGGGTGGGGCACCACGAAATCCATGCGTGTTTTTTGGGGTCATATGCGTCACTTGTTCCCAGCATCTTCTTTAGAAATTTCCGTCCATCACGCAGCAAAAGATTTGGGGTGCACAATGCAATACACCAAGCAGTGCGTTCTTGGTTGCCTTAAGGATCGCATGGTGGCAGTAACACGAAGACTTACCCGTCTAGGTCGTCATAATCTAACCATTGACGAAAGGGCCTCGAAGATACAGATGGCTATTTGGCCATTAGCATTTTATGCCGCAGAGAGTCCATTTATTGGTGAATCCCATTTTGTAAAGTTGCGCCGACAAGCTACTGACGTGCTAATCGGGAAACATAAATATGCATCTTCAATGTTGGCTCTTTCGATTCTTTCGCCTAAAGTAGAGGACCCTATGTTATACGTCATTAGTACAGCCATCTGCAGTTTTCGACGTCTTTTTCAATGCCACTGAGATGTGGCATCATGTAGTTTATCGGGACACAAAGTGTGGTCCATGTGCCGCCTTGGGTAAATATTTTGATAGAGTCAAATGGAAACCTATGGTTAATGCCATGCTTGAACTCCCGGATGGTCAGCAATTATGTATTTGTACACATTCACCGAGTGAGATTCGTCGCGCGCTCCGGTCAGCGTGGGCTTTCTATGTATAGACCATATCCAACATCGCAAAGGGGTCACACATACCCCTTTCGACCCCTATGTCCACATAAAATTAATCACAAGCTGTCAGACCAGACTCGTAAATTAATAGGACTTAATCTCACCGGTGGATATCAGACGAACGCAGTTAAGTCATTGTGGGACTCCACGCAGAATGCGTTGTGTACGCACTGTGACCAACCTGATACGCATTCGCATCGCCAACTGGAGTGTGTTCATTTTCAGCATGTCAGAGATCGCCATCCGGAGGCTGTACGTCTTCTACAAACCTTTCCTAACCTTTTGTGGTTCCCCGTGGCGACAGTACATGCTAAGCAAATAACCTACAACCTCCTTAAATCCGTCAAGGTCCATTTCTTGATGTCCCCAATATTGTGCCGTCGTCCCACCATGTATTTTATACAGATGGGAGCTGTGACCGCCCCAAATTCCAAAATTGTTGCCGTGCCGCATGGGCAGTTGTCCAACATGCTACTTCCAACCCGCAAGACCCGCCGGTGAATGATTTCGTAGTCACGCAAAGTTCTCATGTAGCGGGCAATCAAACCATTAATAGGGGGGAGTTAGGGGCGATTGCATGGCTGGCGCGACATTTTACTGAATCTCGTCCCAATCAATTTATGTCAATTTACACTGATTCCGACTATGCTCTTCGTCTTGTTGAGGCGATTGCATCTAATACGCTCGATCCCAAGACTTTTCAAAAATCACATGCTGATCTAATCCATCAGCTTCAACAGTTTTGGAATCCACTTTTCTACCAAATACGCAAGGTAGAATCACACCGTAATCTAGAAGATGCGATTGATATTGATGACTTGTATACGATCCTGGGAAATGATCTAGCTGATCAAGTTGCAAACAAGATTAATCAACTCGATGTCCCTCCTTTTCAAAACGCAGCAGAGGCTGTTTTTCGGCATTCATTAAACCAAGTTGATGCCCTGATGTTGATTTACCAATATCTCGCGGATTTGAATATGCTCCATTCAAAATTGAAAATCGAAAAAGAAACGAATGCCGCCTCAGAACACCAGCATAATACATTGGACGCCTATGCCAACGTTCAATCGGCATTGTCTCAGTGGGATGTTGGCCCTGTGTATTGGTCCTTAGAGGTCGACTTACAAGAAGTAGTTGCCCAAGGATGTCCAGTTGGTGCGAGTGTGGCTTATAAGGTATGGCGGATGTTTAACACATTTCGTTGGCGACCACATGAGGCTCCAGTGGCCTCTGGTGATTTTGGCATAACTTGGTAGAAAGGAGCGCTCTGAGCGGCGCGTTTTTGCATTGTTTCATTTTGTTTGTATTTTGTGTCTATACTTGTTTTCTAATGATTTTTGTGCCACTGAAAGAATCCTATTCTGCCTCAACCCCCCCCGTCCCCATGCCCTTTTTACCGGCACCTGTCTTCCTATTTGGATATACCATACTGCCAAAAAATTACCGCGTCCATACGCCTTCGATTCTCCTGAAGCTAAAATTCAGCCTGACTCTAAAAAATGCCTATGGCATCAAGCAGGGGTCTTGCGCTCTGTAGTACGATATCTTGAGAATTCCCTGCAATGTTCCTTTTTTTCCACGATACAAGAAGACCAACGCTAGCTCTTTGGTTCGACTGGGATTCCATCGAAGTTTAGTGGGTAGTATTTCTGCTCGTCCATTTCTGCCGCATGCGGATTTGCTTATGCAAAATCTACAAGCATATGCCTCACTACCCAACCAGTCATATCCCCTGAATGTTCGAGTCGTGCAGTCCCTCATTCTACTCACGCATCCCTGTCCGAATCCTCCGTATGGTGATATCTCCTATGACAAAAGTCATAACCTCTATCAGAAGACTAAAGAATGTCTTCGTCAAAAACAGTCGCTCCATTCACTTGATGTGCCCAATTAGATGCTTTCGCTCAATGATGTGTTAATTCATTACTTTCATCACCATTCACCGTGTCTTAATCCGGTGTTTGAGTGCTTGATGTTTGCACGTGTTGTACATTCTGACATGTTGTCGTACATACTAACCCTCTAGCACCCCACATAGTGGAAGGGCTATCGAGGGGCGAACGATGGATCGATCGCGAGTTGGTGTGGTAGGTACGAATGGTCTGTCCTCTGAAGGGTTTGGCACAAACAGGCACGCGGTCACCGATACGCACCCGGTAAGCGGAGGTTACGATAATGCCTGTGCTAGCTACTGCAGGTGGCAATACTATGCCAGTACAGGATGCATCCAAGTGCAGCTGCCGGAAAGCAGAGCATCTGACACCAAGAAATACCGTGCATATCATTCCAAGGTGCCTGGCTTCAGCCGCCGCCAAGAGCTTTGCACTTCTTGTGCGCGGCCAACAGCTCCACGAAGCCGAAATCATCAAGCTACAGAAACCCGATGACCAAACGAAGCCATGCAGTGTCATCACCCAGCCATCATGTACAAACGATGAAACGAGACATGCAGTGCAATGCTTTGCAAGGCGCAAAATGTTGTGACGCTTCATGATTCTGACATCCCTTCAAAACACTAGACTCGATGACAAGCGAGCAATCAATATAGAATGTGATAGGTTGAATCAAAATGGTTCTTATTGGTTCTTGTGGTCCACTCTCAATTCCTTCTAGAAAAAGCATTTTTGCCAAGGATCTGCATGAGGCATAAAATATCTTTTTGATCTAACTCGAGCTGCACGTGTTCGTGTAGAGCACAACCTGTGCAACTTCGAACAAACAGTGCCCTTCTCAGTCTTTGGCATTACTACTGGTAGCAAGAAGCTACTAGGTTGGAGGCCATCGCTACCAGGTTGGAGGCCATTGCTACTAGTAACAAGAAGCTACTAGTAGCAAAGGACATGACTACTAGCAACAAGCTTATTCGCCGCTCTCGCGAAACAAAAGAATCTATGCCTCGATTTCAGGCTATCTCACACGAGCACGTACCTGAGCACTACAATCTACAATTGTCTATTGCTGGCAAACGTGCCAAGTTCATTTTCATGAAGTCTTGTCCCAATGTCTCTGTTAACAAAAGTAAGGCCAGCAACCATTCTCGAGTGTTGCTGCAGTCTCTTCCTCGCTGCTGGGGTGTAGCAACATGTGCCCACACATATCCACTAAGGAGCCAACAGCAAGATATGTGCACTAAGTTTGTGGCCGCTTGGCCACAAGGCCAGCGATCGCAGCTGCATTGTCATCGGCTGGTTTGAGCACCTAAGCTAGACTGAAGCTTCTTTCAGGAGTACCGGGCTGCATACATAGAGCGCAACAAAGGATGACATACTTAAAGACTTAGTGATACTTAGTGTATCTTGAGCATGGCCTTTGCAAACAAGCCATCATCAACTTAGAGAAGTGCCGGTCGCGCTCGCAAAGTAGAGCGCCTGCCATCAACAAGACAACTTAAAGACAAATAACAAAACCTTAAGAGGACAGCCTGACTGCCACTTCAATCTTGTCATGATCTGTCAAGAATGCGACTTGCTGCGCCTGCGAAGGCCGAGAAACATGGCCAAACCGACTCAACAACTCAACGTTCTGCATGCAAAAGTTTGTGTTTTGGCTGTGTTTTGCCCGTTGAAGGATATCCACTGTTCGCAAATGCAGCATTCACCATAGTTGCCTCAACCTTCACTCCGAACAGCACAAGTTCCGAGTCATCACAAGCCACTCCCAAAAGGCTTCAAATAACTGAAGAAGTAGAATCTACACAACAGACCGCGAAGACATTGATATATGATATATGATATATGTCATCTAAAATTCACAACAAAGGGTGCACCCTCACCTTCTGCATACCATCGTCCGGAGGGGCCAACGGCACCACAAAGTTTGGCTTGCCCTTGCGCCTTTCTTCCTGTCTTTGAAATGCTTCCGGTTCTCTTAAAGCCCTTACGCCTTGTCAAAGCCTAAACGAGACAAGTCTTTCTTGCTGCACTACGAGACATGTCTTGCCTCCTCTTTCCTTTTTTCTTCCTTTCTGCGAAGGCGATTTGATTTTCGCAGGACACAGTTCCTTGGTATAGCCCGAAACGAAAGCAACTCTAGATGATATAACATGTGTTCATGTATTTGTCATTTGTTATAACAATCCTTTCGGTGATGCTCGTACCAAAGCAACCCACAGGTCTCCAGTCTGGAGTGCATCACGGGTTCATTGTTACCGAGTCTCGCACAAGCTTGAGGAGAGAAGATGATGCAAAGAGACTAGATTAGACGCTCCCCACAAAGAGAGAAGGAGAGGCCATCCAGTCACTCAGTCAGTTTCCCCTTCATATGGGAGCTCCTTCACACGATGCTTTCTTTGGTTCTGTGTAGTTTCATAGTCTTGGTTTTCTTTTTTGTGTTAGATACAAGTAGCTTTCTGTAGTTCAGGCAAAGGGGCCAACCATACGCATCCTCACGGTCTGCTTGCAAATCCTCGCATGGGCCGTGTGACAATTGACTTGTGCATATGTGGCTCAACACTTCTTCCATACAGCTCCTGCAAATCTGCAAGCCTTTCCTTGTTGCTTTTCTCTTTCTGCCGGTCGCCTTGTGCAAAAGAAGTTGGTGACCCCCCAGTAGCTCTGGCTATCACATTAAAGCTATCACACTAGGTTCCTGACGCAAAGTTTTCTCAACTCGAAACATTGGATCTGTATCCATCCGTCTCCGAGTCTCAGGATCGACAAGCTCAAGAGTCTCCGAGTCCTCAGAGAGACCAAGTGGCCGTGCTGCAAGAGTCTCTGGCCGCCGCCCTGTGTCTTTGGAAACCATGTTGCATCTGAAAGCTGATTGGCAAGTGACACAGGTCACATCAGCAAGACAGAGTGCACACAAAAGTCTATGCACCTCACTTGACTATCCCAGACTTCCACTTTTCTGCGAAGACCTTCTGCCAGCTCATAGTCATCCTGGCAACCAAGTAAAATCCAAAGGTGCTGGATAGGCCCCAAGCGTGACAAGCTGCACGTTCTTTGGATCCGTCCGGATAACAAATCGTTGGTTGCAATGTGCTGTACCTTCCGCTTCATCAGCTTGCAATGGAACATTACATGTCAGTGGAACTACATCTGCAATCAAGCTTCAGCTTAAGCATATTGGACACAAAAAGGCAAGTTTGAGCTCTCGGCCATTTGCAGATCTTGCTGGATGCACAATGTTGCCTGAGTGGAAAAGGGAATGGTCGGGCAAAAGGCAGAAGGCCAAGCTTGAAAGCAACTGAGTCTTGGGTTGAATCAAACCAAAACACCGCAGTTCATCGCAAACTCGTAGAGCGGTGTGGAAAAGTACATGCCAACCTTCTTCTTGTCTGCCTAGGATCTGAATGTTAGTGATCGAGTCCAACAAACTCCAACAGTGGACATTGCATTCATCTGAATCTGCGTGAGTGTGCACACGTCTGGCTCAAAAGGAATGAATCCCAACACGGGTCGGCAAAGGAAAGCTTGCTGAAACCTTGTCTTTTGAGTTTAGTCCTGAAGCTTCAAGCCATCGCCATACGCTGCAATGTTAACTGAACTCGAAGCTTGCATACTGTAACTCATGTGTCTTGAACCTTTCGATTTCCTCTGCCAGTTCGTTGACTGCATGTAATCAGCCGGGATTCGTTGTAACGCGTGCCTTGACGGATGTAGTGCTGACACCTCAAGTTTCTCCAGGGCAGCTCTCAAACTCACTTCAACAAGGAGACACCTAAATATGCCCTCCTGTCGTTTTGCCAGCAGCTGTATCACTGTATCACCCTCCCCTGAATTCATTGGCGCTCTTGTGTGCGAATGCAGCCTCCTTGGTCCCTTTCGACAAAGTTCGAACAAGCTGGAAAAGAATAGATGGCAAATAATAGAAATACCTGCTTCGAAGTTTGTTCCAAGCCAAGGCTGCTGCCGCAGGCACTGCACAGTGAAAGGCATCTCGAAGCGGATCAGCAGCACCTTATAGATGAGCAGCCAACAAAATCAACAGCAATGAAAGCAAAAAGAACTATAACATAATATCGAACTTGCGACCTAAAAGGTGTGGTGCCCCAAGCTCAGTTTGAAGCTCCTTTGCTCAGGTTTTTGGTGCGCTGCTTGCCAAAGTGGTGCTCGAAGCCCCTCCTGCACAAGCAACAAAACCGCCGCTCAACTCACACAGCCCAAAAAACAAGCCGGCAAAGCCTTCGTTGGAAAGAGTCCAGCGATCCTTTGGAAGGCGCCCATTCCTGATGCCAGAGGAAGTGGGCTTCAGGAGAATGGACTGAGTTCGAGTATGGAAAAATCAACTCTTACAGTAAATTGCGAACTGTTTTTCAACTTCACCCCTTCTGCACGCCAAAAATACTGCGGCCCCGAGAGCCTGCGGATAGTAGAAGGAGTCCGCACAGGCAGCCTTCAGACTGATGTCCTGACCAGGGACCCCTCCTGATCGATACCAACATAGTATCTCTGTTTCTTACAGGAGGTATGACTTGGTTGTTTTGAAAAGATTGTCAAGACTCAAGACAAGTCTGCTCTTGGATATTGAATTGACTGAGCTGTTCGAAGAGACTGTCTGAAGTATTTGAGACTGTCGAAGAGACTGTTCGAAGAGACTGCAGCAAACGGGGCATGTTGTCCTTGGTCATCTTCGGCGCTTTCCCACAGGTTGCGATTGCGGATTCGAGCAGATTGCAAGTCGCAGTGCTGATGCTTCTGTGGCTACTCTTCTCACCTTTGTTTGGCTGTCGTCCAATGGTGCGTAATGTGAATGCAGCATGCTGCATGATGGTATACTCTGAGTGCTTCAAGTTTGCGGAAACAGTTTGCCACACAGGCAGGACGGGTTGTCCTTGGTTGGAAACGAAAGGTTGGCGGAACTGTGAGTCAGGCCACCAAAGTTTGAGCATCAAAGCTCATTTGTTCCACCGATTGCACAATGCGCTTTTTCAGCGCCTGACAGTGGCTAACAAGGATCATTGCCCTGCTGGTCACATTCCATTTGCTCAGAAACGTCCAAAAACGTCTCCACTTGACCTCTGCAGTTTTCGTGCTCATTCGTCCGGTGAAGTACACAATGTGACTTCGAAATTGGAAGGTAGCGACACGATAACGTCAATAACGGAAGACATCCGCGATAGGGTCATGGGGCTAGCGAAGGGTCAAGTCCAACATTCCGAGGAGACCCAAGGTGGTTGTATAACTGGTGGTATTTTACTACTATAAGTAAGCACTATACATACATCATGAATCAATCAACAGTTGTACCAGCTGTACTACTAATTCCGAAAGGATTTAGCAGGCTCCACATGAAAACTAGAGGATTACAGCTTGTCAATAGCCATCGAGGGGAGCTTTGTTGGAACACTTTGGCAAAGCCAACAACAGAGAGTACAAAACAAAAATTGCCGTTTATTCAATTCTGCAGCTGAAGTCTTTCTTCCAGCCGTCCCTGAATTCTGCGAAAGTGTCAAACAAGCTTTATCTGTAGCCCTATCCATGGTATTCATCGCAAATCAGGCAAGCAAAGGAGCTCCTGCAAGGAGAACAGTTTTCAAGGTTGGAGAATAGGGTGGCAAAGGGATCGCACATGCTCGACAACAAGACAAGAAAGCCAAGGAATGCCACGAGCTACTAGGAAGCTACTATCTAGAACAAGGGCATCGCTACTAGTAACAAAGGGCATTACTACTAGTAGCAAATAGCTACTAGGAACAAGAAGCTACGAGTAAAGTAGCAAGGAAGCTATTCGGTGGAGGGCACTCCACGACAAGGAACGCCACGAGCATGTGGTCGTCGACTTTGCCACCTCCACGGATTTCACCTGTGACAGCCACCTGACAGGTAGTGGCTACCAGGAACAAAGGGCATCGCTACTAGGAGCAAAAAGCTACTAGTAGCTCCTAGCCTTACTACTAGTAACAAGAAGCTACTACATTTTGTGGTCACAAAGTACTGCCAAAAGAAAGCTGGCGGCTGCCGGCGATCTTCAAACACTCGCCAGTTGGACTATCTTCAAGTCCTGAAAGCTACAAATCCAAACGTCAATGATTGTTGCTTAGTGTTCAAGAACGTTAAGCATCAAGCTCCATCTTCGTGGCGTTCCATTTCCAGCTTCTGCCTGCTTTGACTATTGATTTCAACCAAATCCAGTGCGAACCTGTCTCTGCCTTATCACAAACTCGTGCATGGCACCAACAACTTGGTCCTCCCCAAGAACACATGAAATCAATGTTTGCCTGTCTTGACAGAATGAGCTTGACAAGCATGACAAACACGTGACCGAATCTGTCCAGTGTCACACACACGTGTCTTTCATCGCCACACCACTTCTCCTGTGACCAAATCGATGAAACTTCAAGTGCAACTTGAACAAAACGAAGTGCAAAAAGGGAGATGACCTGCCATTCACCGCTGAAATGATGGTAGAAAACCATCCCGCCAACCTCAGAGTCGGGAGAGGCTGTATCCTGCCAGTCCTTGAGGGTTCTCTCCAAGAACTTCAGCTCCCAGCGTTATGTTCAACGTCACAACGGGCTCGACGATCTGGAGACAAGCCTTAAACAAAATGCGGCATCGTTGCTATGATTTGTCCCAAGAGCTCTCAGCACATGGCCAAGTGTGACCCCACGCCCTTGTTGCACCTGATGGAAAGGCTCCAACGACCCAAAGCAAAAACTAGTAGCTTCTAGCTACTAGCTTCGAAGACATACTAAAAAGCTTTCTTGTTACTAGTAGCGATGGCCTCCAACCTAATAGCGATGGCCTCCTCCAACCTAATAGCAATGGCCTCCTCCAACCTAGTAGCGGGCCTCCTCCTCCAACCTAATAGCGATGGCCTCCTCCAACCTAATAGCGATGGCCTCCTCCAACCTAATAGCCTCCTCCAACCCAGTAGCAATGGCCTCCTCCAACCTAATAGCGATAGCCTCCTCCAACCAAATAGCGATAGCCTCCTCAAACCCGATAGCGATGGCCTCCTCCAACCTAATAGCGATGGCCTCCTCCAACCTCATAGCGATGGCCTCCTCCAACCTAATAGCGATGGCCTCCTCCAACCTAATAGCTATAAATAAAGATTGGCTTTGAACCGAACCATAGCCTTAGCCCATCCAACAATACACGTAGGAACTGGAATTCCTGCATTGCAGTCAAGAGAGAAATGCTGCGAAGTATGACGATGAAGCGGCTCGACAACAATGCTGGCACAGAAAGACAAACTTGCCAGCACTGGGAAGGCTCTTGAGACAAACAGATATTGGAATAATGGGTTGACAAACTTCAGACAAATTTGATCTGCAAAGAGACGCTTACGTGAATTAGTGAATGCAAATGATGCTACTGTGTATCACAAACATCATGAGCATCAAAACAATTGTGTGGTAACTGCTACAGTATGTGCATTTGAAACATATGTACTTAGTACATCAAAAAATGTCTTTGCACTAAGAGGAAGCTCAATGTCTTTGCACTTTGTTTGTCAATGTTTGTCGAATGAGGTCGGCACTTGGCAAAAGAATTCCCCCGCTGCAGATTCAACGACCAAGGCTGTGAGCTCTGCACCGTTGCAAATAAAATCTTTCAGGCAATCCTCTGGCCTCAACGCCTTCAATGAACAAACTACAAGAAAAATGAAGAAAACATGTGAAGGAACAAATTAAATTGGGAAGAATCCCAGTGAACTCAGCACAAATCTGCCTCTGTGTCAATGGCCAAACGGTACTCCGTTTGTGGCTCTGGCTCCACCAAATTTGCAAGCTCCGCGGCCAGCCTCAACAAACAGACCAAACGAAGTTTGACAAAGAAACCAATCCAAATAACAACGGAAGGATACCGCGATTTCAAGGGCATACCTACCCTCTAAAGCTTGTAGAGTTGTCACAAGAATCAAAAGTGCAATCCACGACTTGCCGGCACCCCTGTAAAATTACAGATGCGGCTTCGGCTTCTCTGAAGCAAGTGCATAGCAGTACAGGGTTTTGGCAAATTGCAAAGAAAAGGATGGGGCTGGCAAGTCACATGTACAGCAAGAGCGGACAATTCAATTTGCACAGCCGATACAAAATAAATAAAGCACAATGGAAAGCAATTATAAAAGGAAGCGAAAGTTCAGCAAATAAAATGTAACACCGAAGGCAACGACCACGACAGCGAGACAAAATGAAAGTGGATACTTGAGCAGGAGGTGGGAGAGAAGGAAGGAAGAAACAGCAAAGAAGCACTGCCAGTCTGCAGTGCTCGTCCTTTTCGTTCTTAAAACTAGACTATGAGCACACCCCTACACTGACACATCTTCTTCCACATGAAAACCAAAACACCCTCATGCTCTCAGGTCCATGCTGACCCGCTGTGCAGCGACCGTTGACTGTGAGTTCAGCCATTAGATCGCCTGCGACCAGACATCCCACAAGTTGAATTGAGAGCTGCCGCTGTGCCACTCTTTCTTGACCATAGTATATAGGCAAGTTCCTCTATGGCAACTCTTGCTTTAAGGAACTGTAAGGAACTGTTGTTGGATCATGTGTCAATGTTTCACCTATCAAGAGGCACGAGCTTGCTCGGCCTGCCATAGCTCGGATTGAGATTTCAAGGCCACTTTTGCACTGTGAATCAATCTCCGCCTAGTTCGCTGCAAAGTTCAATTCACGTAGTATCTGACTTTACTTGCTCCGCTCACAGGCGAAGCGTTCATTGTTATGTTGTATTCTTTGTTGTTGTTTCAATTTCGCAAAGCAAGACGAATGGAGCAAGTCCAAAGGTTGGCACTTGCCGGCTCAAGTAGGCCTGCAAGAAGAATCAACATGCAACGAATGCAAGGACACCCAATTTGGGCTGTAACGCGTGTCCATCTAATCTTTCAACTTCCTCTTTAACGGTTCATTGCAAATACTACCGCCAGTTCAGGAACTTACCCACAAAGATTGAAAACACCCAAGCATGGCAGGGGTGCCTGGCGCATTTCTTCGCTGCAGACTTCCCTATTGCTGACCTACCAATTCCACCCGTGCATGGGCATTATTAGAATTTACAGTAGTGAAAATGCAAAAATGCAAATGATTGAAGTTTCATGACAAGCATTATACATGCATCAGAAGCTTATTCTGCAGCCAAGTCTAAGGATTAAAGCTTGGCAGCAAAAATTGACACCGACCTTCATCTCAGTCAAGACCTGCTCAAGCATCCAATAAAAGTAGTGCGATTTTGCAACCTCTTGGTGTCTTCTTACAAAATAAGAACACTTGATGCTGGACTTGGACTCCAACCTCGTTAATTACAAGGCTCGGATGGCTGGGTGTTGATTGTACGTAGGCTTATTTCCTTCATCCTGACTTCCAAACCTCAGGAACCTCATGAGCGTTGTCCTGGTCCTAGACATTCATTTCCAACGTTTCCATGATTCGTAAAAAAATCCTGTGGCCAAACTGTGGTAGATTCTGCACTGGAGACTGCCGAAGTTTAGTCATGTAGATGCCTTTCTTGCTGAGAGGAAAGCCAATGTATGTGCCAACTTTAGTAGTTTCGCATCTGACTTACTTGCTCAAGGGAATTGTCAAGTAAGTCAAACAGGGGGCCTTTCTGCGACGCTCCAACTCATCTTCCTCCACTGTATCCCAGAGCTCATCCAAACACTCCTGCAGTGCGCTTGCAGTTCAGAAGGCTTGGAGTGTGCCCTCGCTCAAACACAATAACGAGAAACACTCTTCGCACCTTCCATTCCTCATCATTCTGCCATTGCATAGCTTCTGTGTACCCTTTGCTGCTGCTGCTTCTGCTGCTTCTTGAATTCACTTTCCAAGACCAATTTTCAATACTATCTTTTCCAAACTGGGCGCTTGAAAATATTTGCTCAGTGTTGTATGTATACAAAATATTGCTATCGAGCTACGTTGCAGGCAATTGGAGCTATAGTTGCTGCGGGCAAGCCATGCAAAATTAAATCCTAGCAACATGCCACTACTTCAGGCCAACCCTGCAACACTGCACTGCAAATAAATCCTGGAACTGTCCAACTTGTCGTCGATTCTTTTCCGAGTTTTCTACGAAGGGCAAGTGGCGGCTTGGCCGTGCACTTGGTGAAAGCGACGTCCCGTTGCGGAGGCGAAGAGTCTACGAGACACTCGAAGCTTGGCTCTTGTCAGTCTTGTCAGACTGTAATCTTGAAACGCTTGTCAAATTTGGATCATGTTGATCTTTTGGACGAAAAAAAACATGAACTTCTTGGAGAAGCTGCTCCAATGAAATCAGTTTCTTCCGCACACGTTTGTTCTCTTGCATGAGCAGGGAAACATCAATTGATCTCGCAGGGCCCTTCAATCGCATGCAACCTTCGACAAACTCAGTCGCATCTAAATCACCATTGCCCGAAGTATCCATCAACTTGAAAAGTGTCCATGCATCGTGGGTCTCTACATCCAAAGATTGAAAAAATGATTTGATGTGCGGCTCATTGAAAAGCTCTTCAAATTCCAAATAGGTCACGTTTCCACTGGCCACTTCTCCTCGATCTTTTTGAAGAGACTCGAAAACTGACATGAACATGTCAATCTGTTGCTGCTTCGACGTCACGATGGACTGAACATGCAACTCTTGATCGCGTTCTGCGCTTTCAATGGCAGATTGGCAAAACCTGCACGAGCACGACCAAGTCCGTAGAAACAAACAATTTAGTGCAACTTAAAGTACGGTTGTGGTTAGCTGGAAAAAGAAACAAAAGCTTGCTAGAAGCAATCTCGTCACACACCAGTCATCACGTTCAAAACGCAAAACGCGCAGAATGCCACGTAAATGACATACAAATATCCCCAAACCCAATTGAGGTTGTGTAGCTTGTCTGCAACATCGCCCCAGGTCACACCATTGCTAATGCTCTGGAAAAGAGTTTGCATTGAACGCTCCAAATCCTGAAACCGCTTCTGCAAGAACGCCGTGTCTGTTTGGCTTATCTCGAAATTGCTGATGTATTCCGTGGACACATCGGTGAAAACAATCCTTGGACATCGAGCGAGAATGTTTTTGTCAAAGCATCTATATATATATATATAGCTCCATCCTAATTCTCTGATCTTCGACGAAATCCTAAACCCATCCACCACCGCGCTATAACAAAACCTTGCGAGCACTATGCATTTTTGTATGTTGTTGCACAGGACAAACCGGTGAGAACATCTGGCAAAACCAATCCTATGCTAGAGAACTCAAATGCATGGACCCACACCTCCATGGTGGGGTGCGGGAACTTGAAAGAAAACAAGCCGGCCTTGTGCCATGCCTGACACATGAAGAGTCATTTGCAAATTGCCATTTCAATCTCATTCTTCGCACCACGTCAGAGCAAAAAAATTGTGCTAGTGGATGCTGCAAAAACATAACGAACCAGCAGGAAACGTCGGAGCAACAGCTGGTGATAAAGGATCAGCCAGCAGTTTCAGGAGACCCGTCACTTCACAGCTTATCTTTAAGCCTTTAAGACTCACTATGCACAACCAAAAAAGGATTTCTGTTCAAGACTTACAACAAAAGTTTGCACACTTCCAAAAAGGAAAATAGGTTTTACCCGGAGCTCAGGGTCGCAAACACATAGATTATCATCAACAAGAGCATCACAGACCACATCAGAACCTTCATGGTCCCAAAGATTGAATGAACCAGCGATCTCAAAGCTCGGATAAATCTCACGATCTTCACAACTCGCACCACACGGATCACCCGTGTGACTCGTAGAATTCGAATGATTCGAACATTTCCAGACATCAGTGCATCAGCGTCTGTGTTCATGCTCGCAACCTCTGAAACCAAGTTTAGCACAGAGGTCAATATGATTAGAACGTCCAAGTAGTTCCAGACCACGTTTGGCGAAGACCAAAAGAATGATGGCATTCCTTCAGCCAAAATCCGCATCACAAGCTCTACCAAGAATAGTAGAGCATAAACCTGTTCAGCAATGAAAAAGACTGGTGGCAATGGTTTGCCAATACTTTGGGCTGCGTAGTGCACCTGTACACCAATCAGAAGTGAGTTTGACAAAATGGCTGTTGCGAAGAAGGCCTCGAATATCCAGGAAGATACAATGCGTTTCACGTGATCCACCATCGAATTTCGGTAAGGAACTGCGCTGGCTCTGCCATAAGCCTTCCTATTTGCTTTCTTCTGCGACTTCACCAAATTCTCGCGAAAAGATCTCCTGATCTGCCGAAAACACCTCTGAAAATGTGCGAGCCAGGCTTTCTTAACGGGGTGATAGACAACAAAAACTTGAGAATAGACGCGGCTGAGATTCTCGTCACCAGAACTGAGAGATGCAATTGAAAGCCTATTTGCTTTGTGCACCACCTCATCGTTCCCAGGACTCTCATTGGAATCAATTGTCCTGCCCTCCTCATGTTCAGAACCTCAGATTGGTCTAAGTAGACAATCATGCCAAACGGTCCAAACGAGAACTGCCAGTCTGTCACGCGATGAAAATCCCTTACGAAAGTTTTGACAATGACATGTGAACTGATAAATGTGATCGATCTCAACTGACTTTGCGCGAAGGAGCTAGTCATTGCTGAGCCCCCTGGACTGACTTTTTGCTCCAGTTTCCAAGAGCAAAATTCATTTGGAATAGAATCGTCCATACCAATTGCCTCCTCTGATTCAATTGTCTTGTGCATCAAGGTTGTGAGATTGTTTTGGCCTCAAGTGTTTCAAGTCAAATGAAAAATATATGTTGTCCTGTCTTTCTGTGTGCCACTCTCTCAAGAACCCTCCAATGAGTATCACACCAACGTAGCTGGCGAGGACCAACTCAATTTGCTCAACGAGCCTCACAGGTTTCAGACGAACTATGTCTATATATATATATATGATTGGTAGTGGAAAAAAGGTAGGCAACAAAATAGATTGTAGAATTGTGTGGCTCAAGAACTTTTTGTTGTTGCCGCGTAGAATGGACTCCAATCGCACTTCCCACTGCTCCACATCAACAAATTCACACCTCAAAGGACGGGCGACAAGAAACCACCTGATTCATGATTGACAAAGGATCAAAACATAGTGCAACACGAATCTAAGCCGGATGCTTGGCATCAGTCATTTTGGGACATCTGAATGAACTTGAACCGATACAACTTGGATGTTTAAACTATTACACAAAAGATCCACACATCACACCCTTCTCTTACCACAAGGAACCCAGCCATTACAACACCTGACACGCAGCTAGCTGCCACCAAATCACAATGTCCACCTCAACCGTCACTCCTTATGAAGATCCACACCATTGCCACATGATTCAACATTTTGAGGGAATGTCCAACACCCGATATTATATGCTGGGAAACTCTTGAAATTGCAGCACCTCACGAATCGAAAAAGACCGTGGATAGGCCGACCCAACCTTTCCAACAATGATGTCTTTGACGTGTTCCTTGCCAGCACTCACATGTCCACAAAATGCCAGCCATGGTTCAATCCTCAATTACATTGCTCCCGGATTACTGACGCCCACATGAAGGCCAATGGAACCAATGGGGTTGGTGGAGCTGATCGATGGAATCGCTGTGGACTGGACAGCAGTGATTGTTCCATTCATCCCGCACACCAATGGCACGGAGCTTTGTGACACCACAACATCCCACTCACTAGCGACAGGCTACGTTCACATGCCGCATCTTTTCCGTTGTCCGTAGCGCATTCTCCACCAAAGCCGCGCAAAACCACATCGCACAGCGACATTACAGATGCACTTTCGCCACAGTCACAGTGTGCCACAAGCTCGAAACAACAATGCGACACCAAGCCTCGTTGGCACCTCTTAACCTCTCGCCTTTCGCTCGGCTGCGACACCGCCTTCCTCACGCTGCCATTTCCCACCAAAGACACACTTCCGCCAAGGCTGCACAGAATAGCGTGGCACAGCTTCATCACAATCAGAATTCCTCAACACTGTGCACTGCAGCAAGGTGATCGGAGGCCATCGTTTTGTGTGTTTAGAGGGCGTGGAAATTCGGCCTCGGTGGCCGTGGAGGCCACTGTTTTGTATGTTTGGAGGCAGAAGAGGCTCGGCCAAAGCGATGGAGGCCGCAGAGGTACGTGTCACTTTTTGAGCAGCTGTGCGAAGGTGGATCTGACGTGCAGCTGGGAATTGGCTGTGGAGACTGTGGAGGTTGAGAGTTTTAGCACTAACTTTTCCCGGGTCTCACAGAGTGTTCTTTGTTTGGTGAGTACAACAGCCTGTCTGAATGAGATTATCAGTGCAAAATTCAACGGGAGGCTTTGCCTTTCACAGCACATCGTCAAACAGCCTTCTTTCCCACAGAAGCCAAAAGTGGCGTCGTGAAAACAATGATTTTTTGACGACCAATGCAGGCACCTCTTTTGTTGCAACCGTTGATGTTCTGGGATGCAGGAGGAATGTGGCACGCCGCAGGTTGCTGCGAACACGTGCGTGGCTCGAGTCATTTCTGGAGTTGATCAGCGTTCCAGCCCCGATCGCATTGATTGCACTGCGATTGACTTGACGGCCGTTGTGTGCGACGGCGCATCCGCCAACCACCTACAGGCGAGGCAGCGCGAGCCATTTCGGCCGCAAACCGATCGCGCTTTTGAAGCCAAAATCAGCCATCAAATCTGAAGCCGTTCTTGCGAAAACACATGGACAGCGCAGCAGTCCTCTTCTCCCGCTCTTGAGCCAAAAGCCCAGCGTTGAGGCTTTCAGCAAAGCGTTCACGTAGCCAAAACAAGTCACAAGTCTCTGACTCTTGAGCTACACAGTCCAAAGACTAAGAAAGCTCTTCTAAGTACAAGAACCAGCTGAGAAGTCCACTAAGACCACTCTGGTTGAGACTCTCCCAAAACCAAACAGCAAGAAGGAACCAAAAACACAAAGAGGCACCACTCTTATGGAAAATCAAAATCAAACTCCCTATACAGAGCTACATGTAGAGAGCCATACTGCTCACTCCTAACTTTTCACACCCCTTCTTGGGTCACAGCTGACCGACGCACAGAGCAGATTGGTATGTCTTGCCAAATGCCTGGAAACTATGCATGCGGCCCGCAAGGGGGGTGCCGCTTGTGTGTGGGCAGTGGTCCACGTTATGCCCCCAGCTGGCGATGCTGCCAACAAAGCCAAGGATTGTCAATTCGAGTCGCTCCACAAGATTTATTTCTATGATGGGTGGAGGTGGAAAATCGAACTGAATCAGCCAGACTCCCCACCAACAGTGCGGCCAAGGCCACTGAGCAGAGAGTATTGCCAGAAGGGGCGCAAGCACACACAGCAAGCTCTTCCAATGAAACAAAGGCGATGGCGACTGCCCAAACTGCTCAACCTGCCCAGAAACCCCTTCGACAAATGCCTGCTGTATGGGAGGCCACTGTCACAAGGGATGAAGCGGGAAAGAAGCGGCCTGCGTCACTGCCCCCTCGAGAATGCAGAGGATCGCTGGGAATCCCTGTGCGCGCAAGGACAGGAGTTAACGCTGCAGGGGCCCTCGCAGTTAAATCGAAAGCGGCCCGACTGCAGATCCGCACCGCCAATGCCTGCTACAGGTCTGCTGAGCATCGGTGCGGCCAGGCTCCCTACAACTGGTGCCGCAAACCCACAAATGCCAGGGGCAACTGCTGAGGACCCAGGCGCACACACATCAACTAAGGAGGAAGTCACTACTCAGGAAACACACCTCCAGGAGGCAGATGACCAGTCGGGACCAGTTGATGCTGACATCACCCATCTAGCAGAGCAGAGAGCAATGCAAATGGTACCTCCAGTCAGCCTGTATGCCAACTTGCCACAAGAGTGGCCCCTAGCACGCCTCAGTGTGCAGCTGCGCCATATTGGGGTTCTGCTGAGGGTTACCCTCTACCGCCGAGTCGCTGAACTCAACTTTCGCGGGGTCGATTTTCGACACCTACAGCAAGAAGTTATGAGAAGCATCTGCTATGACTTTAATCGCATCGGTAGGAAATTGGCCAGACGGCTTGCGTCGCTTTTTGCATTCCTTAAACCAGCCTCGAGCACTGACATACATGCAGACCGCCTAGGACTGTCGCTCTTTGCAGAACTGGCCTACTGGCTCTACGGTCTCTTGTCCTTTTGCGCCAAGGCCTGTGAGTCCAAAATTGAGGAGGCAAACGGGGCCCCGGTACTGAGAGCAAAGGATGAGGGAGGCGCGCCAGACATCGAAGCCACAGGCCGGACCTTAGCACTAATGCAGACAGTGGTGATTCCGTCCACTTCAATTCGAAGGGTGCTTTTGAGGTGGACTGAAAAGATGCCATTTGACCCAAATTGCCATCTAAGAGTCCATGCTCACATGCCCCTTCAAGACTTGGTGTGTCTGGAAGGCCCGCAAAAGTATTAGAGGGACACAAGCCTTCAAATGTGCCTACGACAATGTATGGATGGGCTGTTAGTTTCACTTTCGCTGTTGTGCTTGTATTTCTTATCGTCCTCTGGAGTGGCATCTGTGAACTGCAAGTCTGTTTTCATTCGTTCCACTAGTTTGTGCACTAGTTGGACTGGGAAGTAGACATGAGGTGGTGGATGGGGAGGTCCGGCTTAGAAATACGGCAAGCGGTGCTGCCCCCCGCCCAGGCTCAGCGCCTGTTGGAGCCCCTGGGGACCATCCCTCCCGCTCCCCCGAAAAGGGTTCATAGCGGGAACGTAGCGCCTGCCTCACAAACGCAAGCACAAGACCACACGACCGCAGAGCCTGCCGATGCAACGAATGCCGATGAGGAAGCTGAGGAGGAAGAGGATGACAAGTATGTGGCGCCGGAGGGGCAAGGATGCTTCTCCTTTCGACAAAGCCTCTTGCTCAGAGCCAAGGACACATATGCTGCCAGGTGTACGGGCAACAAATATGAGATTATCTCCAAATGGCTCCTCACGGGACTGGCGGTAGTCTTCTCAAGGCCCAACTGGCAGTTTCTAACCAAAAGAGGTACCTTGACTGCCACCCCTCAGCACCTCCTCCAGCGCTATTATCCACGAGGATACCCAGCGGGCCTCGTGGACAAAAAGGCAATGCCTTATGTGCTTCCGTGGCATAATGCCATATCGGAGGCTGAATGGCAGCGCAGGGTCGGGTGGTTCTGTCATTCACTTGCGTGACATGGATGCCCTGTATGCTGAGCGTGCAGGGTCGAAGTTTGATACTTTTTACAGAACAATGGACCTCACTAACCCCATCAAAGCTATGCAATACGACCAAACAAACAGCGAACGAGCAAAACAAGCAGAACAAGCAGAACAAGCTACACAGGGCGAACAAGCTGAGTAAACAACCGTACCAACCCAACAAACAATGGCAGGGCCAAGTGCCCTGGCGGGCCCCCACCCTGCTGACAGGTTCACAACAGCCAGAACTAGCTCGCAGTGTACGGACAGACAGGCGACAGTGGCTGCCACTGGCTCAAACCAGTGACTAATCACTACACAGCACGACGTGCGGGTGTTTACTGCCTCATGGACAGCAGAGACTCTGACGCAGATGATACTGCAGGAACCGGCTATTAGCATTTACCATCATTGGGAAATGCTAGAAGACTATTTGGTAGAACTGCTAGCCAGAAACTTTGACCTTCTCCCTGCTAAAGCTTTCTTTGCCCTTGCCAGACTTCGGCACGTGCAAGTCGAAGTGGGCTATCACACCATAGAGCGACAGGTGTGGCGCTACTGCCACACCCTCACCATTGTCAAACTACCTAGCTCTGTGGTAACCATAGCGAACGCTGTATTCCAAGGGTGCTACGCGCTAACCACAGTGATGATGCCAGGGTGCTTATCCCTAGGAGCCAGACTCTTTGCAGAATGTTGTGCCCTCGAACAGGTAGGGGTACTCACAGGAAACTCCTGCCGACTAGTCAGAGGTGCTACCATTTCCCTCTAGCCTATCCGTTTGAAGGCTGTGAAAAACTTAAGCAAATAGGTCTCCCATGGACCAAAGCCATCACTGATGTGCGGACTGCAACGTCCCCCCCAGAAGGTTTGCCAACGGGGTGCTTCTATTCGGCCGGCATCCAAATGATAAACATCACGCACTCAACCAAGTTCATCGGGCACAAGGCCTTTGCACAATGTCAGCAACTGACTGCGATTGACCTGTCACATACACAAGTGGGCATCATAAATGTGCAAGTATTCTCTAATTGCCGATCTTTGACGCAGGTAATCTTGCCAAAGCACCTTACCGAGATTCGTGCTGAGGCGTTTGAAGCCTGTAT